TGACTTGTTAATGGAATTCGCAAGGTGAGCCACCTTGCTCCTTTTTAATGTCCAATCAGAATCTATCACACCTTGTTTCTTACACACGATTGGCTATAACACTGACAGAAGTGGTTACAATTTTGAACTGGTGAATTTTGTAGAGCTTTGTGTGATGCTGCTCCAGAGAATTGTGCACTGATGAGTGCACTCCGACTATGTCCAATATGGTTCTCCCCTTACAGCTAACATTATGTTGTGCGCTCGGTTGGGTCGCAATGTCGTGGTGGCTCTGGTGGGCCAACGCGGTGGCGCAAGAGGTCTTGGTAGCACCCATCGCAAACGCAAAGTGCTAAAGCCGCCACTTCAGCACTTGCGATGGGTGCCACCAAGACGTCTTTCGCCACCGCCCGCGCAACCACGTGATCACACCGGCAGGGAGGTGTACGGCACCGACACGGGCTGGATGGTGGAATGTGGGATGACCAATTTTTCATTGGGTTAGTAGGCAAGTGGTGAAATGAGACCTGTTAGAATTGACCGAGTCCAGGATACCACATCACATGATCTTGCTCTCATACACAGCCTACACAATTATCTCAAGGCTCCTTGCATCAACCGTCATCACAGGAGTAGAATATATCGCAACACGGCGTGATGAATCTACGCAGCGATTTTCGTGATTTCACGGCATCTGATTGGACAAAATTGGACAATTTTGAATTCGCAAGGTGACCTGCCTTGCGAATTCCAAAAAGACACAGACACATGAAAAATAAAAATAAAGAATACAAACTTGAAGATATATTTAATTGAAACTATACAATTTCAGAATTATTTATGAAATTCGCAAGGTGGTTCACCTTGCGCTCCATACAAAATTGCCTATTTCACCTTGCTTTTTCTGGTTAATGGTGAATTATACATGTCAACCTCCTGTTCCGCAGAGAAAGGCCCAGTAGCAAGCTTGCATCACCGTTTCCAAAGTCAACGTCGAATTGCTGGCCTGCCGCCAACTGGTCAGCATCCAGCGAGTTTTCTGTGCGCCAGGTCAGAACGATGGACACGAGTCTGTCATCGCCCTGAACTAGGTAGTAGTTTGTAAGCTTCGTATAGCATCAACAACAGACTCTGTAGTTTGCATTGAATGCGTGTTCATTGGATAAAACACGCGTGTTCTTGTTTCGTGAACCAATCAAACGTCCGGATTTCGATCATTTTTTGATCTTACACTATTGCCGTTTTAATATATTTGACAACAGGACCAAAAATTGGTGTGGGACTGGTCATTACTGGTGGAGAGCTGGCCCATCCATCTAATTGCAATTCCACAGACGACATGGCAGGCCGATCGCTCGAGAAGAAGCTGCAGTACCTCAAGGAAGAAGCAGGTGACCTTGCCGAGTACTTGTCCGACGACGAGAACGACCAACAGAACGACGAAGCCAATGCTGCTGCCGCGGAGAAGGCGGCCGTGAACGACTACTCGACGTGCGTCGTGGTTGAGAAAGCGCCCAAGGTGAACGCCGCCAAGTACGACAAGTTGCTGGCCGTGTTCAACAAACTGGTGTCTCAAATCGGTGCCGTGGTTGCGATCGACATGCCGTACCTCCCTGGGTCCGCTGACCCGTTGACGGGTGGGTACTTGTTCATCGAGTTCGAAACCGAAGCGGACGCGAAGAAGGCGGTGACGACGCTGCACAACTTTGCGCTCGACAAGAAGCACACGCTCCAGGCGTACTTGTACCAGGACATCCAAAAGCACGCGGACGTGTCGGACACGTACACGCCTCCGACGCGTCCAGAGTTTGTCCCGCGGCCGAACCTGAACACGTGGCTGTCGGACCCGACGTCGCGCGACATGTTTGTGCTTCGGCATGGGACGGAGACCGAGCTGTACTGGAGCGACCAGGGCCGTCCGGAGCTCTTGTACGACGGCGCGCGGGAAAAAGTCAACGGCAAGCAGTGGTGCTCGCAGTACGTTGCGTGGAGTCCGCTCGGCACGTACCTCACGACGTTCCATCCGCAGGGGCTGGCGCTGTGGGGCGGTGACTCATGGGAGAAGACGGCGCGGCTGGCGCACCGCCAGGTGAACGTGGCATTGTTTTCCCCCCAGGAGAACTACCTCATCACGTCCAACGGCCTCGAAGGCGACAACGGCATCATGGTGTGGGAGGTCGCGACGGGCAAGTTGCTCCGCGGGTTTCCACTCGGGACCAAGGGCCACAACGCGCCGCTGGACACACCGTTCAAGTGGAGCGCCGACGACAAGTACGTGGCGCGCCGCGGCAAGGACGCGATCTCGATCTACGAGCTGCCGAGCATGAAGCTGCTCGACAAGAAGTCCCTCAAGGCGGATGGCGTCGAAGACTTCTTCTGGAGCCCCGCTGGCACCAACACGCTGGCATACTGGGCGCCCGAAGCGACCAACTCGCCGGCCCGCGTTTCGCTCGTGGAGCTCCCGTCGCGACGAGAGATTCGGCAAAAGAACTTGTTCAACGTGGCCGATTGCCATTTGCAATGGCACCCGAGCGGCGGCTTTCTCAGCGTCAAAGTAACTAGGCACTCGAAGAGCAAGAAGACGTTGTTTACGAACTTTGAGATCTTTCGCACCCATGAAGCACTGGTGCCGGTGGAGATGCTCGAGATGAAGGACACTGTCCGTGCATTTGCGTGGGAGCCCAAGGGGTCACGGTTTGCCATCGTGCACGGCGAGGTAAATAGGCCAAACGATGTTCGAGTATATGTCGTGGCTAACACAAGGAGCCACTGTAGAATGCCTCGCGCACGAACGTGTCGTTTTACGACTGCCACGGCGGCCCCCGCCACAACGAAGTAACTTTGCTGTACACGGAGACGGAAAAACCTGTCAACGCGCTGTTCTGGTCCCCGTATGGCAACAATATTGTGCTGGCTGGGATGGGCGAGCTGAACGGGAGCCTCGAGTTCTGGGATGTGGACGAACGCCAGAGCATTTCGATCCAGGATCACTTCAAGTTTAGCCACTTGGAGTGGGATCCGTCTGGGCGCGTGGTGACCACGGCCGTGTGCCAGCCCATCAACGTACACGTTTTGTGATATGTTGTTTTGAGTATGTCTCATGTATATTGATGTAGAATTTCAACGCCAAGTACACGATGGACAACGGGTTCAACCTGTGGACGTTCCAGGGCAAGTTGCTCGAAGAGAAGAAAAAGGACCAGTTTTACCAGTTTCTGTGGCGGCCGCGCCCCAAGAGTCTGCTCACGGACGCCGAGTACAAGGACGTGCTCAAGAATTTGAAAAAGTACGTCAAGCGGTTCACGGACTTGGACAAGAAGCGCGAGAAGGAGCGGTTGGCGGCGGAGGAGGCGCAGAAGAAAGCGCTTGTCGAGAGCTTCCGTGCCCGCGTGGCCGAGCTCAAGGCCATCACACAGGCGCGCCGATCGCGGTACATCGCCGTGGCCGACGGGTACGACAGTCAAGACGAAGACAACTTTGTGGTCAAGACCACGGTCGAAGATGTCATTATTAGCCAAACCGAAGAGGTTGTTCGGCAATAAGAAGAGAATGAAAAGTGGCAGTTTTTTACACGTGTACTTTGCAGTTAACGTGACGGATCAGTGATTTGCCGAGTTCGAGCTCTGTTCCATTGACCATATTTCTGGCCAAGTTCAAATGATCTCGACGTGAACGAACTCTCCTTTTTGAACTTTATCTCATCGTCCGAATACAAATCAAGTAAGATGAGAGTTTGAATCAGGGCAAATAAAAAGTTAAAGTTAGGCACTCAAACAGACGATCGGTGATTTGCCGAAATTTAACCTTGTACTACGTACGTAGTATTCAGTAGGGGAATTTTACGCCTTGGATGAAACAAATTATTGATTATTGATTTATAGAGCAATATTATATGTCAGAATGATATTTGACATAGACTTTTCTGTGATTAGAATTATTATTGTGAACAGTATTACCGAACGTTAACGGTATGTCCTTTCAAGTTTCATACAATGGGGTTATGAATTGAATCTTGCGACCTCCTCCGTCAAACATCGAACAACATGGGAGGGCCTTGCTCGAGTCGCACAGTCAGTCGAAAAAAATATTGACAGCGGCACAAGCAAGTTCGCGATGCCGACTAGCCCCAAGTCGCCCACGAAGGAGCCCCTGCTCGACGACAATGAGCGGCTGCCCGACGTGTACAATTCGCTGCACTTCAAGAGCATCCAAGACCCGTACCGGTCCATCGCGTCGGAAGGAATGAGCATGTACAGCACCATCCACGCCAACGACGTCGCGTCCATGCTGTCGGGGGGGCTCGAGCGATTTTACGAAAAGTACCGCCTATTGTCCAAGAAGGCCAACCTGCACTTGGCGACCCCCGAAGTTCGCTTCGAGAACTTGAGCTACACCGTACAGGCGCGTCAAATGACGATGGCCGAGAAGCAGGGCACGGTCGGGTCGTACGTCGGTCGCATGTTCACCCCGTTCAAGCAAACCGTGTACAAGGAGCAGGTGGTGCTGCAGCCCATGAGCGGCATAATCAAGGCTGGCAGCATGACGCTCATCCTGGCTAACCCTGGGTCGGGCAAGTCGACTTTCTTGAAGGCATTGGCTGGCAAGTTGGACCAAAACAAGAAGTGCGCCCAAGGCGGCGATATCACATTCAGCGGCTTGAAGGCCACTGACGTAGACCCGTTGAAGATCGTCGGGTTGGTCGACCAGCGCGACAACCACGCTCCGACGTTGACGGTGCGCGAGACGTTCCGGTTCGCCGACTACAGTTTGAACGGCACACCCGACAGCCAGCCGGAAGAGCTGCAGGAAGTGGCCAAGCTGCGCACAGAAATGATCATCCAGTTGTTGGGGCTGTCCAACTGCGCCGAAACTGTTGTGGGTGATGCGCTGCTCCGTGGGTGCAGTGGGGGCGAACGCAAGCGCGTGACGGTGGGTGAGATCCTAGTGGGCGGTCAAAGCGTGTTCTTGTGTGACGAAATCAGTACCGGGTTGGACAGTGCGGCGACGTTTGACATTGTGTCGTCCCTGCGCACGTGGTGCAAGACGTTGGGGGGGTCGGTGGTCATCGCCCTGCTACAACCTACCCCCGAAGTTGTTGAACAGTTCGACGACATCCTCATGCTCAACGAAGGGTACATGGTGTATCACGGCCCCCGCACGTCCATCCTGCCGTACTTTGAGAACCTCGGGTTCTACTGTCCATTGCGTGTAGACCCGGCCGACTTTTTGATCGAAGTCACGTCTGGCCGCGGCAAAAAGTACTTGGCCGCCGACGACAAGTCTCGCAAGATCCCGATTTACCCCAACGAATTCAACGACGTGTTTACCCAAAGCGAGCTGCACAAGTCCACGCTTACTGAGCTTTCCGCGGGCTTCAATGTTCCCAGTCATTTACAAACTGCGCAGGACTTTGCCAAGGTGAAGAGTGTGACTGCGATCGCCCGCACCAAGGAGACTTCCCCCTTCGCCATGGGGTTCTTGGAAAGCACCGTGTTGCTCTTAGGTCGTCAGAAGACGCTGTGGTTGCGCGACCGCCCGCTCTTGTGGGGCAAGTTGGCCGAAGCGCTGATCGTGGGGTTGTGTATGGGGGCCATCTACTACAAGCCAGCCCCGAGCATCTACCTGCGCATGCTGTTTTTCTCGTGCGCGGTGTTCCAGCGGCAAGCGTGGCAGCAGATCACGATCGGGTTCGCCCTTCGCTCGGTCTTCTACAAGCAGCGATCACGCAACTTTTTCCGCACCGTGTCGTACACAATTGCGGAATCGATCGTGCAAGTGCCTGTCAACCTGTGCGTGTCGCTGCTCATGTGCACGTTCTTCTACTTTATGAGTGGCTTGACTGTGGACGCTGGCCGGTTCTTTGTGTTTTTGGCGACGTGCGTGAGCTTCCAACACGCCCTCGGCGCGTACATGTCGTTCCTGAGTTCGATCTCGCCCAGCATCACGATCGGGCAGACCCTGGCGGCATTTTCCGTGTGCTTCTTCCTGCTCTTCTCTGGCAACATCATCTTGTACGACTTGATCCCTACCTACTGGACGTGGATGTACTGGTTCAACCCGATGGCGTGGGCGTTGCGCAGTGTCGTGCTGAACGAGTTTTACAGCGACAACTACCAAGCCAACACGACTCGTGCCACCAACTTGCGCAACGTACAGATGGTCTCGTTTAGTGAAAGCTACATTGGCATCGGCATCCTTGTGCTGCTGGCGTACTACATCCTCTTCACGGCCATGAATACAGCTGCGTTGCACTATTTCCGATACGAAAAGCGCTTGGGTGTGTCTGGAGGGTCCAAGGTCGGCGAAGACGACGAGGACAACGTGTACATCCAAGTGGCAACCCCCGGCGGCACCCTCGTGAAGCAAGAGCGTAAGAAGGACCAAGGCCTGGCGTTCATTCCGGCCAACTTGGTGATCAAGAACTTGGACTACTACGTGACGTTGCCGACCAAGGTGGAGCGCCAACTCTTGAACAACATCACGGCGAGCTTCACTCCTGGCCGCATGTGCGCGCTGATGGGTGCGACGGGCGCCGGGAAGACGACGTTGATGGACGTGATCGCTGGCCGCAAGACGGGCGGCCGCATCGGCGGCGATATCATCATCAACGGCGAGCCCAAGAACCCAGTCAACTTTAGCCGCATCACGGCGTACTGCGAGCAGATGGACATCCACTCTGAAATGTCCACGATCGGCGAAGCGTTGTGGTTTTCGGCCAACTTGCGCTTGCCCGAGACGATCACGGCCGACGAGAAGCGCAACTTGGTGGAGGAAACCCTCGACCTGCTCGAGCTCAACGGCATCATCAACGAGCAAGTGGGCGACTTGTCTGTGGAGCAGAAGAAGCGCGTGACGATTGGGGTCGAAGTGGTGGCGAACCCGAGCATCTTGTTCTTGGACGAGCCCACGTCTGGCTTGGATGCGCGGTCGGCCATCACGGTCATGAAGGGCGTGCAGTCCATTGCTCGCACGGGCCGCACGGTGCTGTGTACCATCCATCAGCCGTCGATTTCGATCTTCGAACTGTTTGACGACTTGTTGCTGCTGCAACGCGGCGGCTTTGTCGCGTACAACGGCGAGCTTGGCCAGGACAGTTCCAAGTTGTTGGAGTACTTTGCGTCGATCCCTGGCACGGAAGAGATCCGCCCCCAGTACAACCCTGCCACGTACATGCTGGAAGTGATTGGCGCCGGGATTGGGCGCGACACCAAGGACTACTCGGTCGAGTACACAAAGAGTGAATTGTGCAAGTCGAATGTCGAAAGAGCCCTACGCCTGGCGCTTCCCTCGCCTGACTTTGTGGGGTTCTCGACGCTGAACTGGACTCCCATGGCCACGAGCTTTGGCAACCAGCTCAAGGAGTGCGTGACCAAGTGCTTGCAGACGTACTGGCGCAGCCCCCAGTACAATTTTGTGCGTCTGACGTCGTTCCCGTGGTTCGCCCTCGTGTTTGCCACGACGTTTTACCAATTGCCCCGTAAAACAGTGTCGGAGATCCGATCACACATTGGGTTGATCTACAACTCGATGGATTTTATCGGTATCATCAACCTCATGACGGTGCTGGACATCACGTGCTTGGAGCGTGCCGTGTTCTACCGTGAGCGCATGTCCAACTACTACGGCCCGCTGCCGTACAGTCTGTCGTTGTTTGCGTCGGAAGTGCCGTACTTGGTGGTGGCTGTGTCCTTGTTTGTGCTGGTCGAGTACTGGATGATCGGATGGGTGCCGGCGTACTTTGTGTTCTTCTGGTTCACGTTCTTCCTGTACACGTCCATCTGCACGTTCTTTGGCCAGTGGATGTGCGCGCTGTGCCCCAACACCAAGGTGGCCAACGTGGCCGTGGGAGCAGTGTCGTGCATTTTCAACTTGTTCAGTGGCTTCTTGCTGCCATACCCCATGATGCGGGGTTGGTACAAGTGGATCATCTACATCGTGCCGTCGAGTTACTCGTTGCGGTCGTTAGCTGTGAGTCAAGTGGGCATTTGCGAGAATGGCGAGGGCAACGGATGCCACCAATTGGAGGGACTGGCCAACTACACTGGCAACGTGGCCGATTGGGCTCAAAAGGAATTCGAATTCAACCCCGAAAACCGCTACAACTACATGCTGGTTTTGATCGGCATGTGGGTCATCTTGCAGACGTGCATCTACTTGACGTTGAAGTATGTCAGCCACTTGAAGAGATAAAAAATCCCGCGTTAATTTGTATTATGCATTGTGGATTGCATTGGTACTACGGTATTGAAAACTGTCTAGCGGTACTACGGTGAACGATGGAATTGAACCACACCAAAGTCGGACTGAATTTTAGTGAAGGGCCATCCACAACTAACCTTAGACTTGACATGATTGGGGAATGACATATGGGCATTCCGTGTAAGCACTCTAAGCTTACAATAGGGAGAGTCAATATAG